CAAAACGATCCGCGGAGCGTCCATGGCATCATCCGCGACCGACGCGTGGGCAGCACGCGCGGCGGCGACCGCGCGCGAGCCGCCGCGCACGCTGCGCCGCTCGGGCATGAACTACCCGGTCGTGCTGTCGCCGGAGCTGGCCGCGCTGCTGGGCGCCGGGCGCATGATGTCGCGCGCAGACGTGCTGTCGCGCCTGTGCGCCTACGTTAAGGAGCACGGGCTGTACGCGCCGGCGTCCAAGAAGTACTTTGTGTGTGACGAGAGGCTGCGCGCGCTGTTCGGCACGCGCGGACAGTTCCTCTTGCTCCAGCTGCAGAGCCTCGTCAAGCCGCACCTGTCGCCGGCCGCGGAGCACGGCGAGGAGGAGGTGGCGCGCGCGGAGGAGATCTTCAGGAAGTACCTGAGGGAGAGAGGCGCAGTGCTCAGGGTCGGGTCGCAGAGGAAGAAGGACCCCAGGGGTCTCAACTCGTTCAAGGCGCAGAAGGCGCTCCAGGCGAAGGGCGAGGGTATGTATGCAGAGATTGACGTTTCGTCGTCGATGAGTAGGCTGTTCCACGGGAAGAGGAGGATGTCGAGACCGACGATTCTCAAGTCGGTGTGGGACTATATTAAGGAGAACGATCTGCAGAAGCCCAACGACAGGCGCATCATCGTCCTGGATGATGTACTCAAGGACGCCCTGCAGGTTTCGCATCTCGACTCGGTCGACTGTTTCGAACTGCCAAAGTATGTTTGGAGCCAAACAGGAAGGCACGTCCAGCAGCAGCGCCCGACATAGCCGCTCTCGTGCTTTTTATTGGGGCCCGCGACTTGTAAATCAACTATGCGAGACTGCGATCGATCGTATGCCACTACCCAGCCTTTCGTTTCGCTGCATTTTTCAATGCTTGGTGTTGTCCTGCGGTCCTGGCCGTGTCATAATTTATCCGAGACTAACAACCCCGATTGTGAAAATACGCATGGTGCGGGGAATTACAATTCCCCCCATGACGCAAGCAACCGTACGGGTGGCGACGCCGGTGTAACTTTCCTAATTCGTTAATACACTCCTCTGCTGTCGACGAGGCATCACCAAGCCTCTTATTGGCACTGGACAAGGGGGCAGTGAAGGTGCCCGTCGCATTTACCGTCGCATTTACCTCGACAGATTCCTGCCAAGGATCAGTGCCCGGATCTCGGGGATTTTGAAGAAAGCTGTTCTACAAATGATGTGAGCAAAACATTAATGTGAATACACATATTAATGTTAACCACAGTAATTTATGTGGCTTATGTGACGTAAATTTTGATTAATAAAACCCGCACCTATCAATGATGAGAAAACACTTCTTGGCGTGATTCACATTACTGTACAGTATTTGCAGTAACTGGGTGTATCCGAGAGCCCACCTTTTATGATCCTTGTACACTTTTTGGGATCTGATTAAAAATATATGACCCAAAAATATTTGTGGGCCGCTGCTCCACTTCATCATCGGATATAAGTTCGGCATGCTGCAAACGCCAACTTTCCCCTCCTCTCGTCAATCTCACAGTCGCATCGACATTCCCAATTGCGACCCGGAAGGCCCACTGTGCTTCGCCCGCGGAATCTCACGATCGTAGTGGGTAGACGCGGCAACGAATCACCATTCCGCATTTCGCAGCAAGCCGTTCCCTCTAGCCCGCTGCGATGCCTTACTATGAAGTCCTCTGTCTGGCCAGCGGAAAACTCGGCCGCGCCGAACTGGCAGACCTTCTCCGGAAAACATGTAGGGCGTTCATGGACAATGGGGCCGTTCTCACCAGGATCAGTCCAATGGGAGCCACCGGACACGGACCGCGAGAGATGGCCTACACCATTCGACAGAATCAAGTCTCGTACAAGACTGCTTTCTTCGTCAACGTTTGCGCATTCGCGTCTCCACAAGCTCTGGTAGAGGTCGATCGACAATTGAAAATCGACGAGAGAATGTTGAGACATTTGGCCATCAAAAAGACCTTTCGAGATGCTGTTGAACCAATACCAGACATCGATCAGGCCCCTCCTCCAACTACTGGCCTGGATCCGAATGACCCAAACTACGAACTCCAAAAGTTCTTGTCAGAATACGAGCGAGAGTTTCCCGCTGGCATGCAAACCTCGGTTCAACCTAAGCACCAACGGGACTCGCGTGACTCTGGTGATATGAAACGTGATTCGGGTGGGTCCGCGGTCCAGAACGTTATCGCTAGTCTAAAGGCATCTTCTCACGAACTGAAGACAAAGCAAAAACCTGGATTGGAATGGCTTTCAGATCTGAAGGATTCCAAGGATCCTCCAAATTCGCAATAGCCTCTGCCCGCTTGATCATCTCGTCCAGACCCTGGGATGTCGCCTCCTTGTAAACTAAGACCTCAAGTGAAGATCAAAACTGCAGCCTCAAACCATGTGCGTTACAATACGACGTGGTTTAGAGTTTATTCCCTGTTGTCATTCCCTCGGCTTCCCCTATAGGAAACACTATAGTGTTTCCTCCGTTTGCGCTTTCCGCAGAATCTACCTCGCCCTCAACCTGCGCTTCCCGCACTTCTTCCACCCCGTCACTCAGTTCCTCCAAATAGCCTTCAACTTCTAACGCAGCCATGCAGCCAGTCCCCGCCGCAGTCACAGCCTGTCGCCACTTTTTATCCTGTACATCGCCAGCAGCAAAGACCCCCGGAACACTGGTCTCGGTTGAATCTGGCTTGGTTATGATGTAATTCTGCCCGTCAAGGTCAACTTGCCCGTTGAGGAATTTGACATTGGGCTCATGGCCAATGGCAAAGAACAATCCACCGCATTCAATTTCTCTTGTCTCCTCAGTTTTCAAGTCCTTCACTACAATAGATCCTAGGAGCTTCTCGTTCCCCTTCCCTTCCTCCACGACATGAGAATACAAAAACTCAATCTTTGGGTTGTTCAAAGCGCGACGCTGCATAATCTTGGAGGCGCGCAACTGGTCACGTCGGTGCACGATGATAACCTTGGAAGCGAACTTTGTCAAAAACTGGGCCTCCTCCATGGCCGAATCGCCTCCTCCGATGACAGCCAAAACCTTATTCTTGAAAATGGGAGCAGCACCATCGCAGACAGCGCACGCACTGACTCCCCTCTGCCAATACTCGCCATCGCGACAGCCCTTGATGTCTAGTCTTCTAGCGGTAGCGCCTGTGGCGAGCACGACGGCGTCAGCAGTGCAGTTGGTACCACTCTCACCGGATATTTGAAATGGACGGGACGACATGTCAACTGTAGTGACGGTCTCCGTCAAGATGCGAGTGCCAAATCTTTCAGATTGCCTTCTGAATAGGTCACAAATTTCTTGACCACCAACGCCATCTGGAAATCCCGGAAAGTTTTCGACATCGGTCGTCGTCGTCAACTGTCCGCCGGCCGCGACACCCGCTGCAAGAAACCCCTCGTACATTAACGGACTGAGCTCTGCTCGAGACAGGTAAATTGCTGCGGTGTGGGCTGCAGGGCCCGATCCGATGATGACCACTTTCTCGTGCTGGACGTCGGTCATGGTGAAGTCAATGGTTCGAAGAGCAGGCGGTTGAAGGGGTGTTTGAATATCGCAAGAAGTAGCACCCCCACGTTTGCGGTATTGCCTCCGCTTTAAGTAGAGGAGGCGGACGGGAATGCAATGAGGCGAGGGAGTTTGGAGCAGGCAAACACTAGCTTCGGGGTTTCTACTAGATGCAAGGATAACGGGTTGCGGTGAGTCGTTCGGAAGATGCTAGATGGTCAATGCGCAATGCAGAGTGCACAAAATTTACCCACGTGCGAGGCAGTTTCTACGATGTTGGCGATGTCATTGGCAACAGCATGCCTTGAACGTGCCACTGCCATGCCACACATGTGCCGGGTTGGCACAACGCCAGAGGGAAGCTGCTAAATCGATCGAAAAGAAATTGCAATTCAATATGATTTTCGCGGGAAATCCTAATAGTGCGCCTTCAACAACGCAGGGTTCTGTAGATACGTGTCCACGTCAACTCGAAGACAACCATAATAACTACGGACAACAAACCTTGTTCACCATCGTTCCTCTATTTTGTTTTAAGTATTTTCCTTGGCAATTTATGCGTTTTCAGAGCCACGACGTGGTTCAGAGCTACAATAGTAGATAAGCAGAACAGCTCCCTCAATACACTAAACTTCGAGAGGAAGCCTCCAAATCCAAAAGGCTTCGTAGATACCCAAGCTGAGGTACAAACTGAGAGCGGCAGAAGAAACATCACGCTTGGTCGCCGACTTTTCAAAAAGTATCATAATCTGCCTTTGGACATAATAGTGTCTCCTGCTGTCTCTCATTTGCCTACACTTCAAGCCGAATCGCGATGTTGACACAATCCACGGACTTCGTCAAACAAATCGAAAGTGAATCATAAAACAATCGATTGTCATCTCGCTTCACAGATGGTGTCAACACCAGGAGGCACACACTCTGTGAATCCTTATAAATTTAAATTCTACCAGATCGTTCTGCCTACAATATTTTCCACTCGATACTGTATCTAGATATTTATTCCGATACTTATTGAGAAATTCAGAATCGTCCCATCAGAATACTTTCAACGATGACGGGAAGAAAAGTATGAGTAAAAACAACTTTTCCGTTCTTATCCGTGAACTTTCTGGGAAGCGATGAAGAGACTGCTGTCATTCATGCCCTCATTTCGAGATGCTTTCTTCAAGGACCAGAAAAAAAAATACTGCCTGACTGTTAGTTATCAGAGAGATGGTACAGTGTGGTGGCCTGATGCTCAAAATGTTGTCAGCAGTGATTTGAAATACGACCACCCTTCTAAACCTCAGTCGTACTCGGCACTATACTGGAATGTAATCTGAGCCATGTGCAAAACGCTCTGTACAGTGTTGTCCGTCTTCCAACGCATACATGCTTTCCTAGATAAGTACAAGACTCGCTACACTGCTGTCATGATACTGATTCAAGATTGAGAGTGAGGTGGACGATTTGGTGTATAAAGCAACTCTGAGATATTCCCGTGGATGAGCTACAGTAGTGAGCTAGACTAAGGTATTTGAGAAATGCAACTTTCGTGGCTCACATTTGTTAGGGAACTCACATATTTGCACCCAGTTTTCTACTAGGGAAGACAGTGCTCTCGACCGACAGTCAGATTGATACTGCAAATCGCATGGACGATATCTCGATGGTGGTTGTGCTAGTTGTGTCGCCTTGATGCAGAAGGGCTCAACAGTTTCTATTCAACGCTGACCATTCAATATTCACTACCTGCGATACTCTTCACTGTTTCGCAGTCAACCATTTGACGAATGGATTTTGCGCGATGTGATGTTCCAAGTTTGCCAATGGGACAAACCATAAGATATCTTCAAATTTCTATGTTAAGCATTGATAATTGAATGGGTTCCCCGTGGCGCCACGTCTTTTCTGAAAAATCGGGTGCACCTTTCTACTGTCTCTTAGAATTATCTACGGTTTGTGGAGCATTCCTAATTGTTTTCCCTTTATAAAGTATTACGGGTAAGAAAAGACCCGTTTGATGTCCATCCCGACTTTCACCATTGAAAGATATTGCATTGAGATTAAGAATTCTCGTCCTCATTCACTTTCACGGCAGAGGCTCCCCATCAGTGCTTCTTTCACTCGTTTTCCGGGGACAGTTGATCACGATGAATCCCCTAGCAGGCTTAGATGTCGAAAAATTATCCCAAGAAGAGAAGCTTGATGTCGTCGAGCAGATTGTAAGGAGTCCCAAGACCTTTCCGCTGCTCACTGACAAATTTTTTGATGAAATTGGCTTTGAGAGCGACATTCTGAATGCGAAGGCAGAGACGCTTCGCGATCACATCAGAAAGCAAGCAGCAGAGAAATCTCAACAGAGAAGGGGAACAAGCAGCTAGGTTCCCATAACGATTGCAAGACCCACTCAAGCTTCGATCTGCAACAACGGTGTAGAAAGTCGTGCATGTTCCCAGTGTCCTTACCAAGTGGTTTGTCACAATGGTTCGGAATGACTCAAACGAGGTCGATCGAAGAGCTCTCACAGATGAGAAAAACAGGGAAGAAGGTTAGAGACATTGATAAAGCGGGGTGGGGCACCCAGCTACTGTCCGGTCAAATATTTGTGATTTTTTCTGCACGTCTTCGTAGGTCTCGGCGAGTGTTGGACCCCCCTAGCTTCTAAACACACACGGCAACTAAGCAACTTGGACTGTGGTGGTATTTTCTTAACTGTTTTGTGCGCAGGTATCTCAGATGGACAATAAAAGGCGTCTCAAGAGATCAGTGATGCTGCGCAACGTCCCGTTTTCCAAAAACCGTCTTCGAATGAATTTGAACTTTTGAAAGCTCTCTGTTGGAAAACTCTGACGATGATCTTCTTTTAGTCAATGAAACAATTAGTACTCTGTAAAGAATATGAAAGCCGGTAGGTAACGACTGATAGAACTATTGGTTTGGATCAAGACCAGCCAAAAGACCAAATCTACGGGGATTAGATGTTGGCTTCGTTATAGCAGGTATATCGGATCATCATAGACAGTGCTCAAGTTTTAAGCATATACTTAAGCATTCAATCGCCGTTGATGGTGTTCTACCTTGCAAGCTTCTTCTCTGACTGCAAAAATCTTATTTCGCGAGAATTTGAATACGGTGCACTTGATTCAAGAAAATAAAATCCTGTTTAGCATTGATTCCACATTACCCAAATGTGATGGTACATCTCTATTATTATTCGAAAGTGACAAAAAAATCTCTGCAAATGCTTTATGGCGAGGGAAGCCTGGATAATTGAAGCAGCGGGAATATCTTTTGTGAGAGAAGAAACTACAAGGCGTAAATCATGAGGAAACAGGTGGTCGAAGAAAACAAAGTTTCCGTCCGTTGGAAGGGACCCCGTTCCTGATGGAATGTCTTTCTCACTTTATTCGATGAAAACAAGCACTATTCATGGGCGTGGCGAATGCCGTGGAACAGTAGTACCATAAATCCGTAAGAGGAGACGCAGGGTTTTCACCGAACAGTTTGTACTGATAGAAAAGCTGTTTTTGAGAGATTCAGTAAAACCGTGCCAGAATGTGGACTCGGATTACTTTCATCTTATCTCACATGAGGTCGGCGTTTTGGAAGGCATACCCCATATACTCGAATTTGACAAGTTCGGCATGTCAATGTGGACGCTGCCTCTTCATCGACTTATCCTCAACATAACAAGCGTTACATTTAATCGAGATGGGTTTTAAATACACTGAAAGCCCAACAAGTCAATGAAGTGTAGAATGTATGGACTTTTAAACTGCATACTTGGGCCCAACAAGTCAATGAAGTGTAGAATGTATGGACTTTTAAACTGCATACAATGCCCGTCCCTCTCGATAGCTTGTAGATATTATGACGAAGGTGTCTGTTATGGCATGCTTAAATTTGGTTCTTTTACATCTACGAAACCAAGTATGCTTTTTTTTTGCCTTTTTTTGCCTCATACTATGCAGTATGAAGTCATTATGAGGCCAAATGTCAAAAAGGCAATTGTTGATAGGTCGATATCTGGATCACAATGTATCGTCACCACTATTGGAAACGATCTTTCACACGCCAGATGCTGCAACATCTCTTTTGTTCCCTTTCCATTCACTCTAAGCACCCCGCTGTTACACCGTGTGAATGTGCTCGTGGGAAAGGTCTCGTGGTCATTAAAATGAAGATGCTTTTTGTCTGTGGCGGAACAGGAAGGAAGGGGCTTCATTGCGCAGTCCAGTAGATACCTTATTGATGTTCATATGCGTGCTAGCTGAACCATGAAAAATAATGAGTGAACAGAGTAGTCTTCAAGAAAACTCAAGATTAAGGTTGCTTTGAAAAACAGCGTGTCGCACGGTAGACACAGATCACAATGGAGCATCGAGAAGAAGACGAGAAGTAGATCTCGAGAGGTAGACAAACGCGCTTGCAAGCAGTCACCTCGTGGCATGAGCAGTGGTGTTATACCACCCTCGCAAACTGGATGATCTTACTGTACCTTCGAAGGTACCATCCCGTTGGATCATACGTCGTCATGGATGGAAAGTGCAACGTTTAGCGACTGTATCCCCACAGAAAATATTATCCTTTCTTGCATTTACATTGCATAGCTCAAGCAAATATGAGTAGTGGTACCCTACCGTACATACTCTACCCTCCCGAATGGAGGAAAATACTAAAAATTTGAAGTAAGAGGCGTTAAGCGTAGTATACACGAAGCGATGCGAACAGCCAAAGTTCGCTCGCCTCAATAAGCAAAAAGAAAATGGAAGTTTCGAGGCTGCGTCGTCCCCAACGCTCTTGTTCGGATCTCCCACCAGGACGCCACTGAGCATATGCACCCCTAGACACGAACCCTATCAAAAAAGTCTCAGGTGGGAGACGTTGGAGATTTCCATCAACATTTGAAAACGGGTGGCTTATCATTTCCATTTCAACTCGATATCGAAGCTTGATTCTGCTGGATGCATTCCGCATCCTCCTGCCTCTCTGACAGAGACCAGAGAAGACTCTTGTTATTGCGGAGTGACAAACAAAAAAAGGCAGCTATTCCAAAATGCACCAAATGCACCTGAACGGACAACGAAGCAGAAGATTGCGGATCTGCGCTGTGTGTCCTTGGATCAACCGGTGCGCGATCTACTGCTGCAACCAAAAAAGGCAAGCTCTGTTATCCCCCTTCGCTCTTACCAGTGCTAGAAATGACGGCGCCGGCAACAATCAGGCCCGCACCGAGCATGCCCACGACGCCCATGGTCTCCCCAAGTACCAACGTAGCAATAACGGCGGTCCAGAGGGGCTGGGCGGCGAACAAAATGGCAGCGTCACTTGCGGGCACTGCCTGCTGCCCCTTGGTCTGAATCCAGCTGGCGGCGGCGCTAACAATCATGCCTGCCCACAGGACCAGTGCCAAGTTAGTGGCGATGGCGGCCGGGGTCCATGCGGCGACTTTGAAAGCGACTCCAGCGCCCGCCTCCAGGACGCGCTTGCCGCCGAGCCACAGGACGGAGAGCGCGGCCTGTGTGGTGATCTTGATGGCGACGAGTTGGTTGGTCTTTCCCTTTACCAGGCGTGCGAGGTGCGAGATGCGGATGACGAAGGCGGTGTAGAAGAGGGCGGCGGCGATCTCGAGGCCGTCGCCGAGAAAGGGGACGGGGGCGGCGGCGGCGGCGGCCGTCGCGGCAGCCGAGGCGGAGCCGCCCAGCGTGAGCAGGGCGACGCCGACCAGGGCGCAGCCGGCGGCGGCGGCGACGCGCGATGTGAGGGCCTCGATGCCAAAAGCGGCCAGTGAGAGCGGGACGAGGACGGTGGAGAGCTGGTTGAGGAAGGCGGCGCGCGAGGCGTCAGTGTAGGCGAGGCCGGCGATCTGGGAGATGTTTGCGGCGAACATGAGTGCGCCGAGCTCGAGGCCGGCGGTGACGTAGCGCGGCAGGGCGCGGGCGCGGGGGCGCGGGCGCGGGCGCGGGCTCGGGCGGATGTCGCGGACCAGGATGGGCAGGAAGAAGAGCGAGGACACGACGAGGCGCAGGGCGTTGAAGGTAGCCGGGGAGAGGGCGACGGGGAGCAGGTAGAGCAGCTTGGCGCACGCGATGAAGGTGGCCCACAGCAGCGGGACCAGGCACAGGAGCAGGCGGCCCGGGACGGCGAGGCGCAGCGGGCCCACGCGCAGGGCGACGGGGCGCGAGGGCGACGGCGACGGCGACGGCGATGGCGACGGCGAGGCGGAGGCGGAGGGCGGGCGCGGCGGGTGCGCGGCGGACAGGCGCGGCGTGGGGCGCTGGAAGCG